AAATTTCACAATAAACCTCACGTAAGCAACGGAGTTTATCGGTAGATTTTGTCGCATATTTCACGGTTATTCAAACAAAAACTTACATATTCCACATATCAACATTGACCAAATCCATTCGCGATAAAAACGATGGCGAAAAAGCGTTGATCTCTCTCAAAAATCGTTTTCTTGTACCTCAAAACAACTTTTCGCCATACATTTCCTTCTAGTGACAAGCAATGTTTGCCCCCTGACGATCCCAGAGTTCTTCGCGCAGACACGGGTATCCGATTACTGGCAACTCATTCATTAGGTTAATATTTGATTTACAGGAAAACGTTAATCCAGTCCTTAACTTTTAAAAGTTTCTTTTACCTGTACATGTCTGGGCCTTCTGGCCATGGGTCCAGACGTGATTAGCCATGAAAGGTGTTAGTGAATCCCATTGTGTCTGATGGATTGTTCTGGAAAATATCTGTACTCTAAACGGAATTGGATATTTTAGTTTGAATCCCTTAACACCCAGGGTTTTCAAAAGTAGGTTGGATCTACTTTTGTTATTATGAGCTGGTTACCAGTACTCTGCTTATTGTCTGATTCTTTGGTTAATGATGGCAAAATCAGCCACCTATTTCAACATTAATATTATTAAGGCCACCTACTTCAAAATTTTGTGACAACTGTGCACCCCTACCCCCCACCCCCTCTGGAGTTTGTAGTTAATTATTAACTTTATACTTTCTTTTGAAAAAATGATTGTCATTTGAGATCCCCATCCCCCTCAGAATTTCCAGTGTCCGGTTGAGGTTAAACATAGCAAATTTGTGTCATTATCATACAAGTCTGAAACAATGTAAGTTACAAGCAAACTCTGGAGGTCAAAACCTTCTTAACACTTTTTGGCTGCTGTAAATCATAATTACAACAACAACTTAAGAACCTGCGAACAAAATGGATGGGAATTTACAGATTACAATCCACAAATGTGATCTTTTGAAGCAGCAGTCAAGCAGTCAAGTTGGCTGCTTTTGAATTTAGAACTACATGTGCATTGCACAGTGCCCTACTCTACCCTCCCCTCCCCTTGTCCCACCTTGTTCCCTCCTCTTCCCACTTCCTTCGTTGTTTCATTGCAGCAAGTCATTCTCTCCCTTTCTTAATCTCAACAGATTGGCCCACCCTTTTGATCCAGCATCAGATACACCTGTTTCTGTACCAGCATTTGGTTTTCTTAATGAGTTGAAACTGACCCCAAACTATACTGAATTTGAAGTGAGTATCCATTTTTTTCATGTTTACAGGCATCATGTGGGCATGGAAGCAAACATACATTTTATATTAAAGTTTTATTTCTAAGATTGGAAAATCATAATAAAACAGCAGAGAAGTCAAAAAGCTTTGTTTAAGTGTGAGTAATTAATGAAAATGCTCTCATGCATACAGTACCATTTTTTGTTATTAATGATAATAATAAAGACCAGTAGATGTGAATGTCTTGTGATCTTTTCAATCCTTGTCAGAGTGCAATAAGGCAGGTGAACATTTCTGGCAATGTTGACAATCCTGAGGGAACAATGGATGCCCTGATGCAGATTGCAGTCTGTGGTTCGGTAAGAATGTTGCATCCGAGACCTTAATTCTCTAACTTGTAATATTTATCTTTTTGAGTATCATTGTTAGCTATATCTTTACCTTTGTTGAACAATTTATAGTACAGGACAAACATGTACAGTTAAACCCTGTTATAATTAATTCGGGAAGTAACAAAGAATTTGAGGTGTTGGTAGTTCATTAGATAGCCATTAGTAAGTGACCGAAAAAGTATGTCAGGAAAATGAATGGAGTTTGAGATAGCAGGGTTCTGCTGTACTATACATGTAGCACTTTAGTAATTACAGATTTTTCTGGCGTCTGTCTTTGGGAAAGTGTCCGTTTGATGAGTTTGAGTGAGGTTTGATTTCGAGTTATAGCATCAGGTCACTATTTTTAGACCCCACAGTGATTTGGTTAGCCCAATAAATTTATTAGCACCCTGGTTAGCATAATTACTATCACTCCGATAATTCTCTTGGTTAGGGTTAGGGTCAGCGGGTATATTTGGCAGGTTGCGGGTTGCAGGTGGAATCAACCTGTTTATTCAAGTTTAAATCCAATAAGAGTAAACCAACCTGTTTATTCAAGTTGAAGTCCAGTAAGAGTAAAAGTCTCTATGCGAGCCAAGTGGCCCATCAGGCTGGAACTTATCCCTGTCCAATAAACACCAATATAAAGGCATTTGGAGTGCTATCCAGAGAAATTAGCAGCAATGCAACTCTGTAAAGTTGAGGGTAAATAAATTTTATGATGATTTTGTCAGTGCTATTCAGAGTAACTGAAGCACTAATTTGACTCACTTGAACTTCATTGTCGAAACTGCAATCTATACAGTGTATCTCCCTGGTTAGTGTAACAATGAAAACCACAGGGCTGGCATGTAGAAAACTTAAAACAGAACTCAAAAAAGTCAAAATTTTGACGCAACAAATCAGTACTTAAAATCAAAGTTGTAATATGATTGTACGCTCCTTTCTCTTCCTTTCCTTGTAGGAGATTGGTTGGGTGGACAAGCAGTCTGCGAGAAGATTAGTTATTGTAATAACAGATGCTAAGTATCATTTTGCTGGTGATGGCTTGGTAGGTGTTAAGTGCTGATCCACTTCCAGTTTTTCTTCATGTCAGGGCTGTTAAGCTTTGAGTCACCTGTAGCCTCATTCTCCACGCCTGTGGCAAACTTGTTACTTTGTGGTTGAATTCTATCAACAACAGGCAATTTCACCTGTAGCATCATGGGAAAATCAAGCATAGTCAGCTGTAACTGGTGTTATGGGTTATGGCCCTTAATGATATCAATTGATCAATACATAATTTTGTCAAGGAAAAAGGTAGTGAGAATAAATAGGCAAATTATTTAAATATCAAACTAGGAAAAATCTTGTTCATGTATCACCCCTCAGCACAAGAGTGCAATTACCCCAGCTGGTGCTCACACGTGGACTACATGTAACAGTTCAAAATGGCAAATGCTCACCTAGCCATCAGCACATTGTATCCCCCACCAACTTATGGCAAGATTTGAGTTAATGTTATATGTTTTTCATGTTGTTTTAGCTTGGTGGAGTTGTCACACCAAATGATGGTCACTGTCACACAAAAAGTGGTAAATACATGGCGTCGACATTAATGGTGAGACATTGTTACTGAAAGCTTTGTAAATGTGAGGGACTTATTTCCTTTAAAGACCTTTTGATGGAAAATAGAGGGACTTCCTTGTAAAAAAAGACATGTGAAACTTAACTCAAATGAATTACATTTTATTTTTGAAACATCATTGCATGTACCATTGATTTACATGAAATAGAAGCAAGGTGTTGAAAAGTACTTGACTGTATTAATTGATATAATTTCTACATTTTTACTGTTAAGCGCCATGAGCCATGGATATGGCGCTATACAAATCTATTATTATTATTATTATTATTATTATTATTATTATTATTATTATTATTATTACATTACACAGGACTATCCATCTCCAGGTTTCCTCAAAACGAAGTTGATAGATGAGCAGTTGTCACCAATCTTTGCTATCAATAAGACAAAGACGCAAGTGTACAATCAATACAAGGTACAGAATCAGTGATGTACTGTTAAAACACGGCTTGATTAACAGTCTTAAATAAACACCCCTGGTGGAAATATTTCGAGGATCCTCAAGCATCCTTGAGGTTTCTTGAGGATCTTATCAAGATCCTCAAAGATCCTTGTCTAGATGTTTAAGGATCTTTATTGATCTAAGGTTACAATTCTTGCTAGTATCCAGCAAGATCTTGGCCCTGATCTTTAAGGATATTCAAGGCTCTTCACTGAAAGATTTTGCTCAAATATCTTGCCAAGATCTTTGATGATCTTGGAAGATCCTTCAAAGATCTTTCATTTAACGATCTTTGTGAGATCTTTCAAAGAACTTTTGAAAATCTCTTAAAGATCTTCAAATATCCTCGAAGATCCTGCAAGGTATTTTTAACAGGGATCTCCCCTTATAGCCGTGAACACTCAAATCACATGATAAGAGAAACTGCATGCAGCCACTTTCAATTCACCCTTTCCAGTTTCTGTTTACTGTGATTTTTTCTATAGGAATTAGTCAACTTCTTTGGCAAAGAGTCTGGAGCTGTAGTTGATTTACTGAGCGAAGATTCTTCAAACATCGTTCAGCTCATTAGAGACGCTTATGAGGTGAGTGCTGTTTTGTCTAGTAGGCTAGTACACTGTACATTGGAAAACAAACTACTGTAGTTCGTCCCTGTTGTCAAATGATGGGCAATGCAGATAAGTTTTTTTTATAGCTTAGTAGGTTTTGTACATGTACATGTATTCAGTATTATTAGTATCCGGCAGTAGACTCTATTCACTGGTAACTGCAGTGAAAAGGACCCGCAACGAACGTTAGGAAATGACCAAAAACAACACCGTAGCCAAGGGAGGTAAAAGTAGCCAAGTAGCCCATCAGGCCAGAGCTTATCCCGGTTTCAGTAGCATGAAGCAACTTGATTTTTGCACTCGCTTTTGAGCGCTCCTTATTCCCATTGCCTGATATTCACTGAGTAACTTACATGTATTAACTGTCAGTTGCACAATGTCATCAGAAACAACGAACAATAGTCGCGGACAAAGATGTATTAGCGGGGCTTTGAGAGGTTTAATGCTAGCGTGAACAAATTTACATTAAAAAACCCGAGCAACAATTAGGTCGTGACTGCTCTTTTAGCTAGAAAAGTTATTTCTGGCAGTTTTGCCTGCAAGATATGGGAAGAGTCTAATTTATCAAATGTTTGTTTGTGTTAAGAACTATGAACTGAACGGGAATTTGCCGGTGGGTTGTTATTTGCTGATGCGAATTTTAAGTAATGACTATCTTCTGTATTGCCTCACAGTTCGCACCCTCTCCTTCTTCCTCACGTTTTTTGAGCTTTTCTGCCTCCCTACCCCTTCGCTGTTTACGCCTGTGATGCAGTCTACATGTATTACCAATTAGACTACTCAGCCAATCTGAAACAATACTAAAACCAAAACCAAAGTAATTGTCTGATTACTTTCGACACTCGATTGAAAACTGCTCTATTGTTGATTAATATCTAACCAAAATCCAATTTGCTGTCTTTAGACAATTGCTCAAACTCAGACNCAAAAACAACACCGTAGCCAAGGGAGGTAAAAAAAAAAAGGTTAAATCTGCATACGAACCAAGTAGCCCATCAGGCCGGAGCTTATCCCGGTTTCAGAAGCATGAAGCAACTTGAATTTTACACTCGCTTTTGAGCGCTCCTTATTCCCATTGCCTGATATTTACTGAGTAACTTACACGTATTAGCTGTCAGTTGCACAATGTCATCAGAAACAACGAACAATGGTCGCGGACAAAGATGTATTAGCTGGGGCTTTGAGAGATTTAATGCTAGCGTGAGTAAATTTGCATTAAAAAACCCGAGCAACATTTCAGTCGTGACAGCTCTGTTAGCTAGAAAAGCTGTTTCTGGCAGTTTTGCCTGCAGGATACGGGAAGAGTCTAATTCATCAAATGTTTGGTTGTGTTAAGAACTATGAACTGAACGGGAATTTGCCGGTGGGTTGTTATTTGCTGATGCGAATTTTAAGTAATGACTATCTTCTGTATTGCCTCACAGTTCGCACCCTCTCCTTCTTCCTCACGTTTTTTGAGCTTTTCTGCCTCCCTACCCCTTCGCTGTTTACGCCTGTGATGCAGTCTACATGTATTACCAATTAGACTACTCAGCCAATCTGAAACAATACTAAAACCAAAACCAAAGTAATTGTCTGATTACTTTCGACACTCGATTGAAAACTGCTCTATTGTTGATTAATATCTAACCAAAATCCAATTTGCTGTCTTTAGACAATTGCTCAAACTCAGACNGGTTTGGTTTTACGTCACTCAGTTGAAAACCGCTCCATCAACAACCGTTGGCATTACAAATTACACTCAAACTAATTCGTAATTCACGGGAGTAAACATGTCAAGTAAGGTCTTAAGAAAAGTTGCTAATCAAATACGAAATTTTTTCTCATTTGTGTAACTTTTTTTCTTTGAATTCCTAAGCTGAAGTAAAGTTAACAATGAAACCTGGCCAGCACTTCCTTGTTAATATTTATACATTAAATTAAATAATTAAAACATGTTACGACGTAGCTGAAACCAAGTTTTTGCATGTTAACATTTTCTTCTAAAATATAATGCAACAATTAATTTTGGCCGACGAGTCACATGTGATATGTATTTGATCATTATTAGTTTTCTACAGTGGTAGTAGAGTTTTTCAAGTTTAATGTCACATGGCTAATTCGATCGAAATGATTTCAGGTGAACAATTAACTGAACTAACCTGTGAAGTTAGATTTGTTCCTCTTTCAAATTCCAGTCACCTTGAAACTGCTGTTCTTCAGAGATTAAACTAAAACTAATAAAGTATCTAACATAGTAAACCTTAAAAAAAACTTAAAGAACTGAGACATTGTGAAACATTATGTCTTCCTGGTGACGTCACTGTGAAGCATCGCTTGTTATCGTGGTGACGTCATTGTGAAGCATCGCTTCTTATCGTCATAACGTCATCGTGAAGCAGCGATTTTAAAGTCATTACGTTATTTTGAAACATCACTTGGTAACGTCAAGAAGTCACTATGAAGCATCGTCTGTTGTAGTCATGACATCATATACACGTGATGGCTTTCGGTAAAACTGCCTAGTGCCGTGTACAAATACAAGCAGAAATTCAAACGCATTGTGTTGTGCCATACTGCGTCGCACGCGGGGTTGTGTTGGTTATTTACAAACTCATTGTTTATTTTTTTCCTCTGGGCCATGGTCACACAAAGCTCTTCACATGAACTGAATCTAACAGAAATAAGCAGAAGCTGTTGTCTTTGCTCCTTTGGTTCGGTGTAAGTTCGGCCTTTCAACATGGCCTCAATGAATTAGTGCATATTTCCCACAGTATAAATTACATCAGACTGCAAACTCAGAAACATACCCAGCCGTTGATTTTCTTCAATTTTCGAAGTCGTAAAGCAACAGTCGAAATCCCCTCTCCATGATTGTTCCACGGTGACTAATCTTGGGTTTTTTCCCCAGGGACAATGCAACGGATGCTCAGGTGTGTAGTGGGCTAGGAACCTGTCTGTGCGGAGACTGTGTGTGCAAAAAAACAGGGGTAAGTGCCGTGAGTCAGTGGGTAAAGGGTTTTTTTAGGGAAATGATCAAAACCATTTTACGTCTAGTCGGTCAGGAACATTGCATAAAACAACGATTGTGATCTCTTTATGCCCCGCTCCTCCCCTAAAAACCGGTTTTGGTTTTGGTTTTACCACGGTTTTGAGATTGGCTGAGTAGTCTAATTGGTATGTAATTGGTTTGGTTTTGGTTTTACGACACTCAATTAAAACCCGCTCTAACTACCAGTATTGAAAACTTATGTCAATTTTTCAGGTCTCAATAGGTTTTGTCGATTAGGCTCATCACAACGGCTGTGTGTTGGCTCTCTCCCCCACTCCTCCCCCTCCCCCTACAAAAGTGGGTGCGTTCACGTTAAGTATACTTCTGATGTACCCTTGTTTTTCAGCTTCGCCCTGGTGAAATCATAAATGGTAAATACTGTGAATGCAGCAACCTCGATTGTCCTTCAGACCCAGACACGGACCTCATATGTGGCGGTAAGGATATTAGTGTAGACTGCTATCACCATGCTATTTTTTTTAGGCGATCAGAATCTGCATCTTAACAAGGTATGATNAACTTGAATAGCTTTTGATAAGCTTTTGTAATTTAGAACTTGCTATTATAAAGCTTAACACCAGGTCTCATCTCGTAAAGTTCTAGGTCTTGTCCCACTGGGAGCCTGGTACGAGTGAACATACGAGTCTCATTTCCTCTGTATTTTTTTTTCCACACTCTGTTACGGCCGTGCTTAGGCTGCCCGTGAAGGAGACTGGACATGCTTTTATGAAGAGACTGACAAGCAAACCTTCTGCAGTTAGCAGGACTTTTTGGAAAGAAAACCACAGTAATTAGGTTGTTAGAGTAGAGTGCCGTCACTTACATCGTTCTTCGTTTTCAACTGAATTCCTAGTATTTTCTTTGTGTTTCCAGCTCTGCAATTGTTTTTTTTTTTTGAATGTGCCATTGTCACCTTAACTAAGCTTATATGTGGGGGCAGATCTTGGAAGAAGGACCCTTTCCCCAACCCCTTCCTACCCCCGGGAGAAATTTATTCCTCCTCCTTTTGAAGAAGAAAGTTTCACCTTCGCTTTACCCCTCCCCCTCCACCCTGTTTTGAGCATATCTTGATTCGACACTGACTCACTAGTGCTGCTTGTGAATTTCAGGTGCTGTGTAACGGCTATGGAACGTGCGAGTGCGGCACCTGTGTTTGTAACGCGTCCACAGTGTACAGAGGAAAATATTGCGACGAATGTCCGGTGAGTATTCTTTGCTTTTGTTATCAGCACATCGCTTGTTCTGTATGCCCGTCTTGTTGTATATTAACAAGGTTACCACAGGTGACTGGTCAGGATATGGTCAGGACAAAAATTCTTCAAGGTCAGGGAAAAGTTAGGGAAGTTTATTTTGACACAGGGAAATTAAAATTTTGAAGTAAGTCATTTAAGGCTGTAAAAACATTTCAGGTTGACTGTGATCTCAGTAATATTTTTTCTTAATGAAGCAGGGAAGCTGTCATTCTCAAGTTTAATAGGACGGCTGTGAAGGGAGGCTCGAGGCCGCTAAAACATCTGACATTTTTTATTTATGTAGGCAGGGAAATTTTATTTTTGTCTGGGGAAAGTCAGGGAAAAGTCCAAATATTTTGAAAACTGTTGTCGGTGGCAACCATGTATAAATCTTCATTTTGCGTTTAAGCAACCAAGTGACTGAACAGTTGATGGAACACGTAGGATATTTTGGATTACAATCTGAAACTGATAACTAGATTGTGTTAAGAACTATGAACTGAACGGGAATTTGCCGGTGGGTTGTTATTTGCTGATGCGAATTTTAAGTAATGACTATCTTCTGTATTGCCTCACAGTTCGCACCCTCTCCTTCTTCCTCACGTTTTTTGAGCTTTTCTGCCTCCCTACCCCTTCGCTGTTTACGCCTGTGATGCAGTCTACATGTATTACCAATTAGACTACTCAGCCAATCTGAAACAATACTAAAACCAAAACCAAAGTAATTGTCTGATTACTTTCGACACTCGATTGAAAACTGCTCTATTGTTGATTAATATCTAACCAAAATCCAATTTGCTGTCTTTAGACAATTGCTCAAACTCAGACTATACGTGACACAGCACCTGAGGGAGTGAGAGTGAACTACACAGCTTACTGTCCGTAAGTTATCAATGTTATATTTCCTTTGCTAGCCATGTGGCGTTATGCTGTTGCAGAAAATATCGATCCTTAATATATAGACACAAGTGTTTTACTGGAAAATGCACAACTCGTAAAATTCATACGAAACCATAACCGGGACTCGAGTAGCATATTTTCCATATCTACACTAGTGAAGATATCGATTTTACTGATATCAAGTTTGTCTCTTAAATTATACTTTAATTCGTTGGTGTATCATCGAAACATCTTCGGGTCTTCCTTGAAAGTCTTCGACAATCTTCGGTAATCTTCGTGTGACCTTCGGACAAGTTTTGGAGAATCTTCGTAAATCTTTGGAAAGTGGTCGGAAATCTTCGGAAAATCGTCAAACACACCGTCATCAGTATATCTATATGATAGAAAGAACATTACACGTTATTGACTCCATGCATCAGGGGCACGTAACAATGGTTTTTTTTTCTCAAATACTTTAAATACTGTTTTAGGCTATCTGGAGTGCTTTTGAAGGTCTGTGGGTTAACTTTAGTCTGCCTGACTTGTTTAAGCAATACTGAGGGTTGTTCTTTGTTTGCAGTGATGGAAAACAAGTTGGATCAAAGACTTGCGCCAATGTCCAGATTGGACAGAAGGTTGGTTTTTACAGTGCAACAATTAAATCATCATGCAATGACATGACTTTTTTTATTATACTATGATACTTTTTTGTTTCTGGCAGGTTTCTTTTGAGGTCTCTGTCACAGTGGATGACTGTAATCTGAAAGAAAAGAGGTAAGCACTGGTTTGAGTTTCATGTGAAGATTGTTGTGGTCTGTGTCAGTTTACTCATCGTCGTGGTGGTCGTGGTGGTGGTCGTGGTGGTCGTGGT